GTGGGACAGGTGAAGAGACAAAATTCAGTTCGGTAATGATCGTGACAATGATGTAGTGAATTGAATGCCGATCCTTGTCTTCCGTTCGGATACGGCGTGACTGTGACGCGTACTTGTTGCTGGGAGATTGTTGCCACTTTTAACGATACATGTAGAAGTTGAGCGTATTCTCTAGGAGGGATAGACTCTGTAGAAGTTGGAAACCATTCATTCTTTCTCTAAAATGAGTGATACCTTCGTAGTCTAATGGTAGCTCTTACCGTCATAAGAATTGTTATTGTCCCATTGGGAAAGTATTACATCACATTCCTATCCAGAAAAGGCCAGCAGCTATTTAATATTTGTATCAATATGCGAAAAACCATGGGATGCCTTCCAATGAATTCAACGAAGAACGACGCGAGAACACCATTCAAAATGTCACTAGAAAAAAACACACAGGCCACCAAGTCGCAGATGAACGAACCCATACAGACACCACTATCTGCATGTATCGTGATTGCAAGACAAAACTGAAGAACGGCTAGATTAAGCAAAACCCACGTTGAGCTTACACGAGATTGAGAAAGGGCCTTATTCGGCTAACGTTTTGACGTTTTGGTCTTCATCAGAACATTATCCAAATCGATGGTCCACTGTTCTTTGTTTTCTTGATGTGGAGTCTTCGTCGTCATAGCGAGTCGGATCTTCTTCAAAGGAACACGACTCGAATGAGGCAAGCTCACCCGGCAGTGATCTTTTATATAGGATGATTGTTGTCGATATAACTACCCGTTGGTGATAACGTTTTTCAAGCGATAATCCATCTGCAGAAGTCGGTATTATGCTAGCTAGCACACAGCATAGTTATTGTTTTGCTATTCGCTATGCACTAGCTAACATAATACCAACTGCGGCAGGATGGATTATCCATTGAAAAACAATCATCATCAACGAATAGTCGTATCAACAGCAATCATCCTTTATAAAAGAGCGTTACCAGGTGAGCCTACCTCATTCGAGCAGTGCTCCTCTGAAGAAGATCCGACTCCGTACGACGACGAAAACGCCACATCGAGAAGACGAACAACTGTAGATCATCGACTCCAATCACTTCTGATGAAGACGAAGTCGTTGAAACGTTAGCCCAATAAATCTCTTTATCAGCCTAGCCTCGTGTAAGCTCATCAACGCAAGAAGGTATTGTTTATTACCGCCGATGTTAAATAACGGTCAGTTTGAAAATTATTGTTACGGCAGGCTCTCCATCCCACACTTTCCCACCTACCCATCTCTTGCTTACTTGTGGAAAGATTGTTGTTTTCAGCTCTAAGGAAATCGACGGCGAGGTTGCCTGGTCGTGAACTGCGCCTCCCGGTGTATCCTTCCATCCTCATTGTCGCCACCCAGAATTCAGAGGCACGAAGACATATAGGTAGTTTTTGTAAAACGTGGATTTAGAGATACTATCCGAAGATTGTTGAACGAAAAAATTGTAATGAAGCTTTCCTGTTATTAATTCCATACCGAAAGGAATTATGAATTGTCGAAGGTGGGAATAATTGCTTGGATAGTCGGATGGCCCGTCCTCACTAGTTGTGCGGACCCCAGCAAAATTTCCATTTTACAGAGTTTTACTGGCTTAGCCATTGTGGTTCCCTGGAGTCTCGAGGTCAGCCTAGCCATGGCCTCTCCAGGTCGTCACCACCACAGGCAGTCCTTGTGGATCAGAGGGAGATTTACCACTATGAGGCTAGTTTGATACCAGGACGGTGGTGGATCCTGGTATTGGTCTACACTTGGCTGGGCTTCCTGATGGAAATGCCGGACTCCTTCTGAGCTTGGGAGGCCCTGCCGAGGGATGGATCACATCGCTATACATCGCAGCCCGACACCCAGGAACACCTCGCCACGACGAGGCGGTAAACCGTCATGAGGGGTAATAATTACATTCGTCAGCACTGATAGCAAAACACTCTATTTGCATGGGTCCTGACGGCATTTTTGTAGGCCGATTATTTTGAGCTTCCTCTAGCAGATCTCTGTTTGTTTGTATATCTTAGAAAATCCATCCTAGGAAAATTTTCCGCAGCGGCCAGCAGTTTTACATGTTTTAGTGCCAAATCTTATGTTTTTTCTTTTCTAGCAATTTAATAATGGTAGTGGCGATTCGTTGCGTTCCTAGAACTGAGGCATTCCTAGCGAAAATTTGGAGTTCTTCAGCTAGCAGTACTAAGTTCACAGAGTTTTGATCTGCAAGTAATGTAGAAAATGGATTTCGCCTTTGATGTCTCCGTTATGCGAGTCTCATTTTTTCCTTTTTTCGTTTTTTCCTTCGCTGGTTATAACAATTCTTGTAAATTCATTGGTAGTCGCGTGAAGACAATGATAGGACAAAGTGCAGAGTAGTGCCTATACAGTGGTGTCAACGAGGCTCCACATACTCTCTAATAAGGGATCTGAAGTCCCCAATGACAACTTTCGCACTTGCACTTTCTCTAACTTATCGTTAAACCCATCCAATTTCAGCCCAACTTCATTAGGGGAAATCAATTTCGGTTTCCTTTGAAGTTATAGATTAAAGAGAAAGGTGGTCAAGCGAGTTGACAGGATTGCGTTGACAGATGTCTATGCCACCAACGTTGTGACAGAAGCTTTTCTACATGAATGTTAAGAACTCTATCGTTAAAGTGGCATATATCACTTATTTCTGGTTTCCACTAAAGCGATCGTATGGAATTCTAGGCAATCTTCTACGTCAGATCGAGTACGACGATAAGCGTTTGCAGAAACCGTTCTGATCGAAACAGTCTCCACAATAACGGAATTCTTCTCTGCCGAATAACAATGAAGTCATATGCATCAGGTCTAATCCCCTCTGAATTGTAGTGTTACCACCCAAATACATAGACAGCATGACCCACTGTTAAAGTTATTCACGACAGATCTTCTTTTGATCGATCCGCGTCTATCCTTGAGTGTCGACGTAGCGTTATTAACACGTTCTCGGTAGTTACATTAGGCTTTCACCTAGCCCTGCGTTCAGGAAGGAGGTATGCCGACGTGAAAAGGTTGCTCACAGAATGGTGACGATTTTTGACATTGGTTCAGTCCTGGCTGCACTGCTGGGATGACGTCGAACTGAGCATGGGAGACGTTGCCATAGATTGAATTTCTCTCTGTTCATCAAAGTTCGATACCCATGAACAACCTTTAGATATACTAAGACAGTTACACTTTGTCTTGGAGTTTCTTTGCAGCCTAGCAAAAACTAATTCACGCAGAGCTAACTGGCAACTGCTAGCAGAAGAATGCTAACCTTTTATTTCCTGCCTACTATAATTTTTCAATGGCAAGGTATGATGCGAAATACAACCACAACGATTCTGGGATAATCGCAAAACTTGGACCCCGGGCCAGATCGAACCACGATTGCCCTTTGCGACGTAGCTAAACAATTGTACAATTGAAAATTAAAGACATTTCGAATATTTATTAAGAAGAAATTGAATATGGCTTGATTAGAGAATTCTGAGGAAACGATCGAGATAGTTTTCACAGGTGTTAAAAATGAAAAAAGGGAACGAACACAAAGGAGGCACGCAAAAGAGACCATGATCTAGTTTATATCAACTTATATCAAATCATTCATCGCGGAATGGACGAAGAGGAGAAACGCTAAAACTTTTGTCTCCAATAAAACATATAACAGATAAAATGGATCGTAAAACGAGTAAATACAGCAAATCGAAGCAAGTTGTAACTCATTCCTTTTTCATTTATAAAACAGAGGGTTTACACAAGAGCGACACACTAGAGGGCTGCACCTACGACATACATCTACATTTTTTCTTCTCTTGTTGCCGATCATTTAGCGTTAGTTTGACCTCACCACGACCGTCTTTTGCTTGAGGGTTTGTCAGTTTTGCTTTTAGAACAAGGCGGGTGATACATGAGAACATCTGAACATTGAATACATACTGAAAAAGGCTTCATACCATACAAATTTAAGAGAACCCCGAAAAGATGAATTATTTACTGCGTGTCTGTGAAAAGATGCTTTGCATTTGCCAGAATGCGAAACAAAATCTGCACTGATCAGAGTGACAAAAAAATCATGCAGATCACCAGCCTCATAGAAAAAATAAAGGATAAAGCTCTCGGCGTTGATCAATCCCTGAGTGATGGGCCATGCATTCGACTTCAGTAAGCATCGTTGGAGGTTATTGAATGCATATCCGGCCTTCACAATGACTCGCGGTGACCTATCGATGTATCAAGCCAGTGCTGCTATCTTCCCAGACAAGTCCAGTACCAATTTGTCGAACCAGGAGGGATGGAAGGCTTGGTGGGCTAGGGCGCGCGGACCGATACCATGTGTGTGTTGCAGAGCGTCTCCGACCGTTGCGCCACACACGTCCTACCACCCTCATAGGCGCTGTAGACGGTGACAGATTTCATAGACGTACTACAGTACTTTTTTCTCGTTAGCAATACTGCTAAAGAAAAGAATCGAATGATAATTCTGACGCTGATGTGACCCCCATAAGCGAAACAAACACAATTGCCCAAGAGTATGCATGCTGCTATCCCTCTTTCTTGGAAGTATCTCCATAGTGCAAAAACCAAATGAGCATTTCGAAGGAAAGTCTAAATTGCGCAAATGAGCCCATTTGTTTAATGCTCACTGCATGCAAATTCACAATTCCCAAGCAGCTGTTAGTCTGAATAAGTACGACCGAAATTTTCAAGCTACGATGTTTTTACGGTGCCGAAGTAGACGCGCTAATCAAAAATTTAACGAAATTGCGCACATAGCAAGTCAAAGCGATGTAGTAGAGAAAAAACCGCGTATGAAAGCAAAAAATACTACCTATTCAGATGAAAGACACGTACTTCTTTGGTTATTTACTTTACTTCCTTAGTTATTTACGTAATTCCTTCTTTGGTTACGTGCTTCCTTGGTTATTAGTTTCTTCTGGATACTTCTCTTACTTCGTTTAGAGATCAGTACTAAACGTCTATACACCATATCCAGATCCTCCACCAAATAAAACACTAACCTCTTCTACGTTAGTATTTTCCTTGGCTGACGTTTCGAAAAATCGAATATGCATCGTATCGGCGAATTGCCTCGCATCACTTTCGAGTACAACTCGACGCTGAGGATCCTCATTCTTGTTGCCCACTAAGGAAACCAATACTTTACGTAATATATATGTATATATTTATAATATATTATATATAATATATTTGACGAAATGTTCATTTAAAAACAGTCTAAATCAATCTAAATCATACCAAGAATTTTTTGAACACTCTCGCAGTTGGCATCTATTTCGTGCAGCCATCGCTTTACATTGCTAAACGATTCGCCATTCGTTATATCGTACACCACCACTACACCATGTGTACCACGATAGTATCTGTAGTGAAAAAGCTATCTCACTTCAATCCTTTCAGCATACTGTAACAGCTCATGAATACCGCTTGACCTTAGGCCTGAGTAGGAATATAATTACTATTATTCGTAAAGAAGACCTAAGAGATTGTTATGCTATGAGTGTTCATTTTCACATGTTAACCCATACTTATGCTCCACTTTAACAATTCAGAGCATTTTCACATTTTTTCCAGTTGAAAAAACCTTTTAATAAATAATAATTCCGCATTGCCAGTTCACTTTTTCTAACCGTTCCGAAGTCCTGTCTACTACAGACAACTGTCCAATCTAATAACACTTTCATACTAGCATCCAAGAAGCATACCACCATTGCTATCGAAGCAACTCATTATGTAAATCTCACTGACGTTACCAAGCTTAAATCGAGTGACTACTACCATTCGTTATATCGTTTCATTCACATGACCCATTTGCTTAAAAAAGCCATTTTTGGGTCCAAAAATTCCTTGCAATTTCGCAACTGTGGCTCGAATGCAAATGAGCTTTAAACTCATAGCTCTTAATTTCATGAAGCATTTGTCCATGTCACAACTACCACGTATGAGAGATGCCTTTTTTCATGTAATCCTTTTCCTTCTTCATTGAATTGCGGTAAAATTCATCAAAGCTTCAGAATCTATAAGTCTTTTGTTTTAAATCCATCTTTTCTGCTTCTCATATCTACATTTCTTTTTTCATTTTTGTGAGATGCAGTTGCTATGCGATCTTGGTGAATGTAGTTGTACTAAATATCTAGATAGCCCACTGTTATAAATGTATTTCTCTCAACGACAAACCATAAAAATACTAAGTGAACTCCTAACAAGCAAATCTAGGCGCTAAACTTAAGGAGTGCAGTAGCACCTCAAAAAACACTGGTTTCTACCCACTTCTAATTTTTCCAAAGGCTTCCACAGATCTTCGTGTGTTTCGATTCCAGGTATGATGCCAAGAAATTGGTACGTATTATGTGTAATCTTTATTGCATGTTTGCCCACAATCAGTACAGCACAAGACGTCATTAAACGCAGGATAGGTGAGTTCTCAAATTCGCAACCAACTTTTTCTCAAAGTGCGTTTTTTGCTATGCTAACTTGAGGCTACCGCTACTAAAACTACACGTTATACTCGGAATATCTTTTGATAATGAAGTTGATGAGCTCGAAAGACAAGGTAACGAAACAGTCATGGATAGTTTAGTTTTCCAGGCATGGGCCTGCCAAACATGATCCACCTCAAACCAACCATTGAAAAGCGAAGAATTGGCATGCGTCTACCCAACATCATCTACTTACGATCCGAACCCGAGAAGAAGAACATTTGGGAGGATAGATTATTTTAATGCGTTCTATGATTAAAGAGAAACTACGTCCTAGTTATTGTGGTTGAACATGAAGCAGTTTCGATACAAAATATTACACCGTTTAGTTGTGGAAAACATAAAACATATAAGAACATAGAGAGCCTTCGAGAAAACAAAAGATCATTCGCTCTTCCTTTAACAGTGATTATTAAGTACACGATAACGAGCACTGCTATATTTTATGTCGCTCTATCCGCAGCTAGTGAGGTGTACCAGTTCCTGCCGAATTGTGAACATCGAAGGTCCTTTCCATTAACCATGACGTCACGAAACTGGTTTTTCAAAAAAGAAGATGAAACCTTCCCCACTAATAGAGCATTAGAGAAGCTGAGGACTTCAAAGACTTTAAAAAACAGAGTTCGCTCCATCGACTTAATCATATGCAGATTCTATAAAAGATTATTTCAGTTTCAAACTTGCTTAGAAATAAAGCTCTCAAAGGACAGCGGAAACGAAACTTCATTTCAAAGTAGAACACCCCAGCTTACTGTGGACATTGCTAACAAGAAATAATATGAAAATCTATAGATCCACTTTACCTACTTTACCAAAATGAAATTCTGTCTCTTGAAACCCACGAACTCTATTTTCTCTATTTTCCTCTGTCAAAGCTCGTATTTGGAAAAGTGTACCGATATAACATCTGAGACCTCGTAGAACTGGACGGATGTTGTTCTCAAATGCGTCTTTGATGTTGGCAACTACGTTTGTGTTAAAATTTTTAGAAATTTAAACCCCGTTACAGGCGCGTGGGCGCAGTAGTCGGAGGCGCCATGAAATACACATGGGATCGATTCCCTCACCCCTGGCCCACTAAGCCTTCCATCTCTGCAAGGTCGACAAATTGGTACCAAATTTGTTTGGGAGGATAGCAGCACTGGATCGATATATCGCTAGGCCACCTCGAGTCATTGCAATATGCATTTAATCACCTACAAACGATGCCTAATGAAGCCGACTGCATGGCGCATGCCTAAGGGATTGTCAACGCCGAGAGCTTTACCTTTTTTTGATCCCGTTTCCATTTCTTTAAAATTTCAACTCTTAAACAATTTTAAACATGAAAGAATAAACTAATAAAATATAAATTAGATATAGAGTATAATAAAGATATATACACCTACAAGGCGATGGAGCTAAGTCACTTCTTTACGTCTCCTAAGTTCTAAACTCAGACACTCTAATGATTAAGAAATTATAGGCAGTTATCGAAAAACCAGCATGGTCCTTTAGTGTTAAACACAGCGTTTCGTCATAGCAGCGACATCTAATTATTTTGTCTTCAACAAATAACTTTATAGCTTTTTTTATACACATCGCTGAGTGTGAAATAATTTCCACTGTCTATGAAGCTGGGCACGCAAATCTTAATGGCGAGCACAGTAATGTGTATCCAGAAAGATACTTGGATATTTGGTTGGCCCATCCTCGCTAGTTGTGCGAACCCCAGCATAATTCCATTTTTTCGGAGATTTGCTGGTTCAGCCCCTGTTGTTCCCTGGAATCCCGAGGTCAACCTGTAAGTCGATCCTAGGTCTTCTCCACCACAGGCAGTCGCAGCCCTTGTGAATAAGAGGGAGGATTTGCCACTATGCGACTAGTTTGATATCAAGACGGTGGTTGATCCTGGTATTGGTTTACTCTTAGCTGGAATTCCTGATAGATCCAGAAAGATACCATCCAGAAAAACACCATGCACTGACATGAAAGTAAATACTTCACACTACCGTGCAAATACACTAACAAATACATTGACCATTCTAAGTGGCTAATCGACGTTGACGGAAAAAGAGTCGATATACGCCTGATTTTCAACAAAGTTGTGAAGAAAAATCTACAGAATCGCTAACCAAATTCACGGGCTACTTGAGAGGAAACACATAAGGAATAATATTTTGCGAAAAAGAGCATAAAAGGAATACAAAAACCTTTTTAATAAGTAAGATATGAACCTTCCTATTTTTCCATATACCACCCGCTTCTTTATTTCAACTCAGTTACGAAGTAACTTTATTAAAAGACTGTCAATAAACCACAAGCGAAAAGAAGATAAGAGATGGAGCCTAAAATTGATGTAAAGTCATCAACTTTCACAAAAAGATAATACGACCGTCCTTCAGTAATTTCAACAAGCAAAAAAGGCGAAGGAAGCTTTCAGAAACCTTACTAATAAGCTCATTTTCAACAGAAGAAAGACGGAAACTAAGTGTGACACTGTTGTTAAAACAAGACACAAAACATCAATGATAATTATACCACAGTCATCTCAGTCACCAAGTTGTAAGCGAGGTCTTTTTTAACGCAGATATAAAGAAAATATGTACCTTAACAAAAACTTATCATATTATGGTTCGTGCAAGTGCTGACCTCCCAACAGTTTACCGCCTCGTCGTGGCTGGGAGGTGTTCCTAGGTGTCAGACTACGATGTACAGTGGGGAGATTCGTCCCCCGGCAAGGTCTCCCATGCCGAGGAGTCCGGCTTTTCCATCAGGGAGCCCAGCTAAGAGTTAACCAATACCGAGGTTCAGCATCTTCCCGGTATCAAACTCATCGCATGGTGGTAAATTTCCCTCTGATTGACAAAGGTGACAACTGCCTGTGACGGCGAAGAGCTGAAGCAGATTTTGGCCAGACTGACTTCGGGATTCCGGGGAACTACAATGGCTTAACCAGCAAGTCTCCGAAAAGTGGAGATTATGCTGGAGCCTGCACAATCAGTGAAGACGGGTCATTCAAGTATCAAGTGTCAGGAAAGTGCTGACAAATGGCAAATAGACCTGAACCAATGAGTGGGGCACATCCCCACCGTACCATCTATATGACTTCAGTGTGAATACACTTTTCGGGCGTTAGTGCAATGTTTGAACATGTCGTTTCAAACCAAATTCGAGTAAAAACGCAACAACATCACTTTCTATAGCTGATCATGTCCGCCCTCAGCCAAATTCGTGCAGAATATTAACCAATGTAAATATTATACATAGGGAACATTTGAAGGTGATTACATTTCTAAACTGAACCTTTTAACAAAAGTGTAAAAGATGAGAAAACATAAATACCAACCCTCCACATGGTTTTCGATGTTGAAAGGTAACAGCGAACTGTCATGAACTATCGCTGAAAGAAAATCACCCAAATGAAAATAACTTCACACTAATATACCTTCCTAAAACATCTAATATAATATCATTGGAAATCATAAATCTTTTCAAAATGTTCCGCGCCTTCTTGCAAGGACAGGTCAACGCGAAGTTTGAAATAAGAAGCTGTACCGACATTCTAACTGATTATGGTAAGTGAAAATTGTGTTCGCACTATAGGGTTGGCCACTACATATATTAGATTTAGTAATTCCTATGACCGACTTTCTATGAACCTTGTCATTTATCGAACGATGTTTTATATTCTCGTTGAGCAAACACGAGGTGTTACTTTACTTCTTTCTTTACCAACAAACTAACGTTTCCGCGGATTTCGTCCTCCTCAGAGCCTGGATAGGTCAAGTCGACCGCAATCTTACCAGTCAAACACCTCCATAACCAAAGAGAGAAAATGCTAAACCAAGATTTCAATCACACTGAACACAGAATAGCTTCTTCGCATAATCACCGTTTTCTATGAGTCTTCCACCGAATATGTCCCGTGGAGCAACCGCACTTAGTTCAAATGGAAGCGTAACAGGAAAGGGAATCTGAGAGGGGTGGAATCCGCCGAAACGTCAGCTTAATCGTATAAAGAAATAAAATGTGACCTTGTTTTTGCTCAGCAAGAATGTAAAGAATGAGTTAGTTTTCTGAGGTTCGACACTGCTAAGCGCTTCAGTAAAACAGATATGAGGCAAGCACACTTATAACCACAGCAAAAAACGAATCGTTTGCCTGGATGAATGTTCTTGAACTTCTCAAAAAAGTTTTTCGCACGTACTATAAACGAGAAAATTTTTACACCTTGTTTTAGTACGCACTGACAACAGCGCAGGAACCCACGTATAAATATATAAAACATTCTACACAACTTCACTGTAGAGTCGCGGCGATAAGTTGTAAATTCAATGACAGCTCGCCAAAAGCAAAATCGGTATAAGTTTAAGATGTAAAAACACTGAAGTGACAATGCAACAGTAAAGCGAAAAAAGTACATGACGGAAGATTCAATGCAGATTTAAACGCCCGCTTAAGTGCCCGCATAGTTATCATTTTATTTATTGCCTAGTAGAATTTTTTACGGCGGATTATTATGTGTGACTCAACCACATAGTTTCATCACTATGGTCCTCTCGGGATCTCCTACCAGTTAGTGGAAAGGGTATACAGCGCATCCCCACGTATGGCGGGTAGGGGCTAAATGCGGATCAAAGGCGATCTTGCGCTTCCTGGAAAGCAGTTGAATTGAGGAAATAGACTTCTTGTTTCTGCTGCGCCGATTGTACATACACCTTTTTTATTTAGATTGACATGTTCATACAGGAGTCAATAGGCGTGTTCACACAAATGTAGGTTTAATTCCACAAGTGAGTTCAATCAGCAACTTATTAACGACTAAGTGGGAAGTATACAGGAGTTAGTTAGGAGTCGGCTCAAACAAATAATTTCCATACATACTCTGGAAAAGAGCAATAAGATTCCTCTTGCCCCGTATCAAATAAACAACGAATACATGGTCATACCGGATCTCTCCTTCCAAAACCTATATGCTATCTCATCGATGAAATATCGTAAAACATGCAGCTCGGACGAAATCAGATCTGAACATCTGAGGAAGCCATCGCCTGTCCTTATCAACATATCAGAATGCAAGTTTTATAATCACTTGAAGACCAGTGAAGCAGCGTTGCTGCACAAGAAGGATGACCTCCGTCGGCCAATACCTCACAACTTGATTGTTACCCGTCGCCTATGAGCTTCCCAGTCGGGTAGCCTTCAATAAGACCGACAGAACACTGCATGAAGAACAACCATACAAGCGGACAAATTTTCGAAAATATTCACTGCGGCACACCACATCCACACGATACTGGGATTGAAGTATCGCGAAAGTACATGAGAGCGTTCTATGTCATGTACGCCGACTTAAAAAAGGCGTTTGACTTAGCTGCGACTGAAGCAGTCATGGAGGCTTGGTTAGCAAGGAAATTTGAACCAACAGACCTCATTGATCATATTGCTCCTACAATATCAAGGTCTAATCACTTGAAAATAATGCTAAATCATTTTGACAACGTCTGTGAAAAACTGATTTTCGACGGATCTTTAAGAAGATAATGTTCATTTAATGGATTTATTTCTAGTGCACCATCCGATGAGCACCTCCTCATGTTTTAACAAAGCTTACTTGGGACGAAAGGTTAACATCATAAACGAATTAACTCCAGAACTCAGCAGAAAGAGGCAACTCAACGAATATTCCTGCCTTAACAAGCAAGTTGAAGCCTGAACGCTATGCAGGATCACTCGCTATCCCCGAGGATGCGAACAACGTCAACTATCCGAGACTATGCCATAAACGCCAAAACGTCGAAAATCAACTTGGTCGGCTACTTGATGGCCAGCAATCTCAATGAATGAAAGTGCTGTGCAATAAATATGACACTCAGAGCAAAAATAACCACCTTGGCCACTTTTGCGCGAGAGAGGAACTAATCTAAATTTTATTGGCGCCTGGTTAAGTCTGATGAGACCGCCAGTGCAGATGATATCGAGATAAAACCATGACTCTACAAGCATAGGCCACTCCAAGCCATTAATGACAAGTCAGGAACACTAATGAAAAATTCGAAAAGCAAAATTCATTCAGGAAATAAGTATAGGAATACCTACGTGGAAGTAATTGTCCTGAACCGCTCTTGACCAGCTGTATCCCAAATCTGCAGTTTCACACGTTGCCCATCAATTTCAATAGTTCGAATTTTGAAATCAACACCAATCGTTGTAATATAATTCTCTGAAGTCAAACAGATATATTTAATATAAATTGAAGTTCAATAACATGTGCAAGACAGTAGCGCAACACAAGAGAGACACGAGACGTAATGAATGACAGTGGTAAGCCAAAGAATTGAATAGTCATTAAAATAGAAAAAAGTTACAACAATGTCTTCAACCTCACCAGAAAAGACGTTGTCAGCAAATCGTAATAACAAACTGCTTTTTCCAACTCCTGCAACATTTATTCATGTAGAAAGTATATATACGTATACACATTATATCATATGAAGTATACAGATTTAGGACCTCCCAACGGTTTACCGCCTCATCGTGGCTGGGATGTGTTCTTGGGTGCCCGACCGCGATGTACAGTGAGGACTCATCCTCCGGTAAGGCCCCCAAGCTGGGAGGGACACCGGCGTTTACATCAAATCAGGAATCCCACCTAAGGGTAAACTAATACCAGGATCCGTCACCGTCCTGATATGAAAATAGTCGCATGGTGGCAAAACCGCCTCTGATCCAAAAGAGCGGCGATTTCCTGTGGTGGTGACGAGCTGGAGTATACCATGGCTTCGCTGACTTCGGGACTCCAAAGAACCACAATGGCTAAGCCATCGAAACTCCGAAAAAAAATGGAGACTAAGCTGAAGTCCGCACAACCAGTGAGGACGAGCCATCCGTATCCAAGTAAGTACAGATTTAGGAAACTCACCACTATCACCGATAATTAACAACTTGAATAAATGATCGTAGTCTCGCGGACCATACCCACCCATGAAACTGAAAAAGAGCTCACGAGTACTGAAGGCGAGCTGTACTCAAAGCAAATAAGATATGTCCAGGATTGCCACACATCTACGTCTAAACGTATGCACGATATCGCATCAAAATCTTATTGACACCTCGAGATCTGCTCTTCAATTATAACAAGCAGTTTAATAGAAAACCTGCAGAAATTTACAGTGCACGAATGCACTTTGTTAGAAAACAATATCAAAGTATCATAACAGTACTTCATAGACCGAAGGATATCACTGCTCAGAGCGAAACAAGTATTAACAATATAAATCGAAGTCGATACGAGAAACAGGGTTAAAGGAAGCAGCTCCGCATTTCCTCGCCAGGCCACCACTAGCTAACTGCCCATTCTGTTGCCGACTTGCCATCTCTGACGACGAAAAGGGACCCTAAAATAATAATGCGTAGGAATAACTGCTCGCGACTTAAAAGTGAAGATATCAAAACAATTCAGAACTAACAAGAATTTCTCCAGTTTCAGACTCTTTATATTCCCATTTCTGGTCTTCCTCATCCATAATGGTAGATGTCACCAAATTGGAAGGGGTAGAAATGCTCGCTGAAGGTTCATACCTTAAAGCACCTTCCAAGGAGATAAAAAACACACATGCAACGTACCTGGTTCATCAGAAAACATATCTACTGAGTCTACGGCAGTGCTTTCAAGCTTCTTTAGCAAGAATTCTAGCTTCTCACGTGTCCATTCATAAGCGTCCATCTGAACAAACTTATTGCTAAATAGGAGCACAGAAAGCATATTTCACAACAAACGAAATTACACTTGTTTAGGAAGGATATAGGACAAAAGGATAAAGCTCTAGGCACTGAGCAATCCCTTAGAGATGCACCATGCATTCGACTTCATTAAGCATCCCTTGGAGGTGATTGGATGCATATCTGGCCTATACTACGACTCGCTGTGGCCCACCGATGTATCGAGCCAATGCTGCTAACCGCGCAGACAAGTTTGGTACCAATTTGCCGACCCCGGAGAGATGGAAGGCATGGTGAGCGTGGGGATCGATCCCATGTGTATTGCAGGGTGTCTCCGACCACTGCGCGACACGTGGCCTTAAACATGGTGATATAACTATGCAACTGTGGACCTTGATAGATAATAGTAATACTCAATTGTAAAGTGCTAGGTATGTGTTAGTGTTGATGTTATCAAGCGCTCACAGACTGTTCTCCCGTTTACAGAACTGGAGTTCAACGCCCATGTACTGCTCGTTTTTCTCTCATTTTGCTACATATTTATCTTCACTCGTAAAAAAGTCTGTTTGTTTGCTGTAGATTCCGTAGAAGCGGCAATGGCTGTGTTTTGAGACATATTTGATATGGCCGGGATAGGATTTTTACTCGCATCTGTATTATAGCTTCCAATTTCATATGGAATATACGACTTTTAGACAATTAAAGCGACTTTGAAGGAGGGCGCCATTCGTCTATCCGGACGGTCATGGTCGGAATGTCGGTGGTGCCCTCTTACATTGTCACACTAACCGCGAGGACTTTATATCCTGCTTACAGGAACTAGAAGGTAACCACTCATACTTATTTACCGTTCATTAAAACTAGAAGGATTAATCTCTCGGCGTTGACCAATTCCTGAGGTATGCGCCATGCATTCGACTTTATAAGTATCACCAGGAGTGAACGCATATCTGGCCTTTACAGTCACTCGCGGTAGCTTAACGATGTATCGAGCCAGTATTGCTGTCCTCCTAGATAAGTATGATATCAATCTGCCGACCGCGGAAGGATGGAAGGCTTGGTGGGTCAGGAGCGCGGGAATCGATCCCATGTGTATTGCAGCGCACCTCTGACCACCGGGCAACACGCGTACATTTGTTTACGAAAAAAAACCAAAATTTTCGTAAAACAGCAATTGGTCAGCAATAAAAGTAGCAAGCAATAGTGTTTGTTCTTCAAAAATCTTCTGTTAGTATCATTTCGGTAACCACATCGCACGGCAAAGTGTTAAACAAAACTACAGGCGACTCACATGTCCAGCAGAGATTAATTCATCCACTAATCCACTAATTAATCTTGTATTCTTCTGTGAGTCCGACTCTTCCAATGATTTTCCTTCTTTTTTCGCCTTCCAACGCATCTTACGCTCTTCCGCCGTAGTTAATCCTGAAACCGATGGTGATGATATGCAACGACCTGGATCAATAACCCATACACCGCCATTCCAGTTTTCAGATCAATACTGGCAACATTTGATAACTAGTTATATTGAGCTGAGAGGCCCCTTCTTGTCTTGTCACTACGAAATCCCGCATGTTTAACCGCTTCGCTGTTTGAGATTCAGGTTTCGGCGAGCTACAGAAGGAATCATAATCATAATTTTGTAGAACAAAAAATGTCTCCAAATAATCAAGGTTCTTACTCCAGTTGTAAAACTCCTCTAGGATTCGAAATACATTTACTCAAAACCGAAAAGTTAGATTATTTTCGGCCATGTGCGACTCAAATTACTCATATGTTGCTGTAACTTCGTTGTTGGAGACATCACTGCGAGATTTTGAACTGCCAACAGAAACGAATACAGGATAGGGAAATCCGGAATGTGAAAACAAAATGAGGAAAGAAGCCGTCTTGAAGGACTTATGTCTGCAGAACGTCTCTTTCATGGGAGTTCATTTTTCGAAAACAGAGAAAATCGCCGATGGGCACGGAAGTCTCCTAACGGCACGACTTATGCGAAGATCCACCATGTTCTTAGAATATAGTAACTATTCCTTAAATACAATTTTAACTTATTATCTACTGCCTACTCAACGGCAGGGTATACATTGTGAAATACAACCTCAATGATGCTGAGATATTTGCAGAACTCCAGACCGCAGGTGTATGCGGTGGAAGACCCGTGTGGTGTGGTGGTGGACGCGGCTACTCCCCGGAAAGGACAACAGCGCGTTCGTCCCCCACCGCATGCACCTGCGGTCCGGAGTTTTGCAAATATCTCAGCATCATTGAAGTTATATTCCTTAAACAGTCCCTATTTCTATGTTACCTTATGTCTTCTACAATAACTGTCTACTTGTAATCGTTTCACATCTTCCACATTCTGTAAATTGTCTCTTAACGACTATTTCATGCAGTTGCCACGTAGGTGGCTGGAAAGGGAATCAACAGCACTCAGCTGAATGTACTTTCCAGCATCTGCCGTCCCAAGGAAGTTTCCAAACAAGCACCTGCGCCCTTTCACATGCAGTCCTATCATGTTGTGCGAGTAGAAAAACCTTTAGAACCCTCTTTAGGCGCTGTCATTAGTTCCCCCTGGTAAAACTCCACCCACTACAGAAGTAACGTAGGCAGCCCATCAGCATTCGTCTACAAGTGCTCGTAGCGTTCGTCCGGTGTTCAATCAGTCCCTCACTTCCTCAGTGCTCCAACTCCAGTGTCAGCCTAGCTTCCTTCAGTTACATCACTTTTTCTCATTTCAATCTCGCTGGTATATATCACATGTTATTATTGTACCGTTCTTATTGCTATAAACTGTTATAACCCAAACTCGAGGTTGTTCACGGCAGTTACGGAAAAAAGTCCCGCGAAGCGAATTCAGTCCCGAATACAAAGTCGAGCATTCCACCTACAGTTGGCGGACAAAAGACAAATCCGACCAACTTCCTAATCCACTGGCCAACTAGCACATAGAAACAGAAAATCGTGTCTCATTTATAGTTCACTGGTAGCTGGATTCTGCACTGGATCTGATTACCGACTTCTCCATGCGAAGATTCAATCCAGCCGTAAGCTGGAAAAGGATCCATGTCATTGACCACGAAAAAAAAGTCCATTTGTATATAGTGAGAACATCCTGAACAAAACCCTGTCTGAAAGTTACTGGCAAATTAAGGAAGACCCTACCGAAGAATACAAGCAGCTTGTAGAAAAACTTAAAAGTTGTGCCGATTTCGCCTCAGTTCCTCAAGCAAGAAGATCAAACCGCATCTCTACTACCACAAAGAACTTGCTCGAGAGTAGAAGGAAAATGATGATCAATCTTACCGAAACACGTTTAACACGGCTAGTAATAAATGCCAGTTGCAGTAGAGCGTTGCAGGAAGATCTACATCAGTAGACAGAGGAGACTTTTAGAAGTAGCAGAAAAAAAACCAGCGAGAAGAAATGTCGTCGGGACTGGTGCAAATATAATATTCCGCTATGAGCCCTGATGATCAAGGATGAGTTCACCAAAACATTCCGTCAAAATAGGATGGAAATTATAACGGAAAACCACCTGTCTCTAGTATTTCGTCTACAAGAAAGCGTTTGAGAGCGTCGAAACGAATGCAATTCTATCAGCGCTAGTCGACCAAGAAAGGAACCCAACCCATATACGAACACAAGCAGACCGTTATTGGAATGCAGAACAATTGTACAGTTTTTTATGGACTCTTCATCATATCCACAAAAAAATGGGTTCGACTAGGCGACACAACAACGCCAAAGCTATTGTACTGCAAGGAATAATGAAGTCACTCGATTGAGATTAGAAGGGAATATGTATTGATGGAAACTTCCTTTCAAATCTTCGTTTACCGGATGACATCGGCACCGAAGCAGAGATGATGCTCAATGAACTCAGTGAAGCGGGAAGAAAGATTGGACTGCGCATGAATTGGACGAAAACACAGCTCACGAGAAACCTACGGTGCGAAGGTGAAAAGATCTAGATGCTTTTCTGACTACTGAGATTACCTTGGACATGTGGCGAACATGGAGAACAACACCAAGGAAGAATTATATCGATGAAAGGCAGCACTATGGACCAAATTTGGGCCCCTCAAAGAAAAAACTAAATCTAGTTTCGGAAAACTGGTACCTCTTGGAAGGGTAAAACTACTGACTTGAGAAAGGTGCTCCACTCAAGAAGGTTTCATGCGATACGACGACGGAAATTTACACAGCGAAGAAGCACGACTGTGGACCATCGACTCGGGTCATCGGCTCTGAAAAAACGAAGACATCGAAATGTTACCTGAATAAAGGTTTTATAACAACCTCGTGTAAGCTAAACAATCTGAAGAAGTATGTTAGACATTTGTAATGGTATAGTTTTCATCGTTTCATGCAGTTTTTTTCTTTCGCACGGAATTGCCTTCCTTTTTCTTTATAGGTCGACCCATACTGATGTGGTTTGCAGTATTGGAAAGATCCCTGTGTTTCTTTATGACAGTTACCACCCATTATGAAGCATAGCAAGGTTTGCTACCTTATCACTATGTTCTTCCACGAGTGCAGTAACTTCTGCGATTAGTGACCGATTGTTGGACGATGACATAACATGGGGAAATCATTACTTTTAGAACTGATTTTGTTGTGGAAATTGCAAGCTTGTTGAAGACAAAAATTCCAAAATGATAAATCAGTTTGTATATGAAAGCAGTCCTGTGTCAGGCATTCTACATCTCCGCTTTCTATTTAAACTTTATTTCTTCATTCCTGACTTCGTTTCTGATGGGACTACTTTCATATATAATTTCTATATATATAATATAATTCATATAATTTTCTCAAGAAAGAGTTATAGAAAGAAAGAAAAAGTTTTAGTATCGACCTAAACGTTGGAAATGCTGGTAGCATTGTTGGACTACTCTCTGCGAGTCGGTTCCTTCATGGAGACTCCAAAACATTATTCAACGTGGAACTACCACAACAGTATGGCTCATGCGGATATCGATCCCACTCTTGCCAATATGAGGAATGCATTTGTTTCGCGTTGGCGTCCTCTTACCTTTCATAATGGATTTGATCATCGCGTTACTCGTTCAAATCTTCAATTTTCTCATAAAAAAACCCAGTCGCCATGTGAAAGAAAAAAACTGCATGAAACGATGAAAACTATACCGTTACAAATGTCTAACATACTTCTTCAGATTGTTTAGCTTACAGGAGGTTGTTATAAAACCCTTATTCAGGTAACATTTCGATGTCTTCGTTTTTTCAGAGCCGATGACCCGAGTCGGTGGTCCACAGTCATGCTTCTTCGCTGTGTAAATTTCCGTCGTCGTATCGCATCAAACCTTGAGTGGAGCAGCAATCGAATTAACCCCACTAGGCGATGCGCTATTACACAGGATGGTTGTTGACTAATTAGAACATGGCGAAATAATACTTTAGTAAACCGACCTTTACCGACTAATTATTTGCTAGCCATTCCAACACCGACTGTTAGAGGATGCACCGTCGACATGAAAGAAGTTATTATCACCCGACATAATGTTTACGACAACTAGAGTAAAACAAAGACCTAGTCTTTTCAACAATCATTTACTATCCCATTACGTAAAGGAATACGCAGAGCAAAGTATATTTTCAGAAAAATAGAATAGACGTTGATGGACTGGTCATAGAACGAAGAATGAAGGTGACAGGTCGGCGAGAACATTAGGTCGGAATCCAAGAAAATCAAGACCGAGGAAGATTTCCCAAGAACGAAAAAGGGAGCGGAGGAGCAGGAAACAGAAGGTGAACGTAGTAGAAGAAGAAGAGAAAGGAAGCCGACGAACCAACATTAACTCCCAACTTGTTGTCACACATATACAAAAGATTAAAAAAAGACAAAAATGGGCAGTAAACAAATAATTGGTAACCAAAAAATAGAAAATAAGACATTTAATAATGTGTGAATCCTGTTGGGGAATGTTTTAGTGAATTAAGCGGAACCGATCGACTAATAAAGGCCGACAACGTCCACATCATGCAAAATGAAGATTTTTTGAGTTCGAGAGTCCAAGTGCACTTGCGTGGTAGAATTTTTACTTTGAATAGAAGAAGATTAACACACAGTGTTTGGCGTTGACCAATCCCTTAAAAATGCGTTATACAGTTGACATCTATTAACACTTTAGCGACGAATGATCTCAATAGGAGTCACTTCGAATTAATCGAAGTCGCCAGTATGATCTCCAAAGATATCACTTTCTTTTCGGTGATTTATTTTAACATGTAGAACTGTCTTCCTATGATTCTTGTAACCAATCAACAGCTTGTAGGAAACAGCTTTCGTGTTGGGTGTGGCTCGTGAAAAGTAATATTCTGCAGTTAGAATATATGAAGAACCGTCTTCCGAACGAGATCGCTGACTAGAAATTTGAGTGCTAATCGACTATGATTTCGATTCAAAATTGCTACAGTGAATCATAGTTATCGTATAGAGCATACGGATATTAAAAATAGTGCAATAGGAGCATAACTCGCAAAACACTTCAAAATGCCGAAAGCAATACCTTTGTAAGACGGACCATAGTGACATATATTAGATGCTAAAATGTATATGATACCTACCCATAGAACGATATGGCAAAGTTTCCTGTACAATTCTGTTATGTCCTCAACCCATCAAGCCCGACAGTTATTAAAAAATACTGTTTTTATTAATGCGTCGTTTTCTTGTCCAGTAATCGCGAGGTTTTTAAACAGCATAGATTTACTTCCATAGAAAAACATAATACAATACTGTTTTTATTGGTAAAACACCTTCTACAGCTAACGAAAAACTTGTGTCGCGAAAGGGTTCGCCTGGAATGGGAAAACCAACAACGATATCTGTCACAGGGTACTTCTAACCACTGCCTTACACGGGTACAATGTCTCCACGGATGTTCACCATTAAAAATAAATGAAGGACGTATAGTAAGACGGAATTCTATGAAGTCCAGCAGTGAAAACAAATAAAGACAAAAAAAAAATTCTGAACGACTAACCATTGGCTTTTTTCAGCGCTGTTAGCACATTAGTCACAGTTTGATTTGGTTTCATAAATGAAATCAACGTCGTGAAGATCTCTTTTCGACGGATATCGTTTAGCGTTGGCGGAATGGCCTCGTCGCTATCGCGATCCTAAACCACTGGGCTAAAAAGTGCTAACGGAGATCTATAAAAGAACGTATTTCAAACATTTAACATTTCCCACTGATCTCCAGCTTTTTCCTTCACCGTAGACCAATCTATGTCGTCAAGCCATGCATCTTTGATTTCCTGTGCAAATAAAAAATAGTGATAAAACGGAAGAACTTGGACCTCATCGTCCAATCGGTATAAGTCTCTAACGTAAAGAAAAATTACAACTAAACAAGAACATGATTTGAAATACATAACTGATTGTAGTGATGAACCGTACTAGTAGGAACTTTTACCTTCTCTTTTTTATCAAAAATGAAGTTCCCAGTCTCATCAAAATGACCATCTTCCATGTCTTCCTTCATATTAAATGCAGTTATTTTCGTCGACCCATCAAACTCAAGTGTACAATCCTCTTGTCCTTCGACCTGACGATACTACCTCTCAGTAACACATAAACTGCGAGCAATAAACTAGCGAAGACAGAGAGAGAGAGGGAGATGCCAACCTTTCTCACGTCTAATTCCTTGTGATCATCTTCCAACTCTTCGTCACTATCTAATGTGTGCTTCTTCTTCACATCTTCAGTCTCCTGGAAAAGGAATACGCCCACTTAACGTTTTTCATCACATCATTAAAATAAATACAAAACCAAAGTCGATAAGAATATTTTAACTAACAACATAACTTTTGACCTTCTTAGTTAAACGAATTTCTAACTCGAAAATTACAAAAGTGCTCATTGCTATTCTACTTTTATGTACATTAACGTGTACAAATGCGAAGGAGAAATGGCGCTATATGGGACAGTTACATGGTCGAAAAATTGCTTGTTTTACACAAACTACCAGTTTTCGATTAATAGTTTCTGTTATAGTAGCGCTATGGGGGACTGAGGAGCAGTGATCGGAGGCACCATGCAATACACATGGGATCGATTCCAGCGCCTCTGACCCACCAAGTTTTCCATCCCTCTGGGGTCGGTAAATTCGCACCAGACTTGTCTGGGAGGATAGCAACACTGGCTCAATACATCGGTAGGCCACCGCGAGTCATTGTAAAAGCCGAATATGCATTCAGTCACCGATGCCTAATGAAGTCAAATGCATGGCGCATCCCTAAGGCATTGATCAACGCCGACAGCTTTACCCTTTTATAGTAGCGCTGTCTGCTGTCACACAATAGTAGACGCATGTAAGACTTTCGAAGTGATAAAACAACCTCCACAGAAGAACACTTTCCTTTCGTTCACGGCCGTTGGCTGTAATCCAATAAACACGAGAAAGGACATCAGAAATGTAAAAACTCCCAAATGAATAGCAAAAATTGGCTATACAATGGCTAAATTTTTTTTAAAAAGCCAGAAAAATGGAAAATTGAGAGGCAAAGACGTTAAATTCCAGCTTATGATAGAATACCCGAGGATGTTCACATCATGGGATGGAACAAATGTTGATAGCAGACTGGTTAACTTCAAGACAGTTTTTGACTTGTGAATTCGCCTTCGTATTTCTTTCAGAAGGACGTGTGACCACAAAAGCATAATTTCTGTCAAGTGCTTAGTACTCCCATGTTTGTCGTCATGAAGACCATAATAGCAACTGTTAGCAGGAACGAGGACATGAAGTGAAGCGAAACATTTAAAAAATACTTAAAATTGGAATTGAAATTTTTTTCTTTATTCCATCATAATTCTGGAATTCAGAGCATTCCCTCGTGCATTTTACCAACACAGAATAAGAACGATCTATCTATAAGACTACAGGCTCTCAATACCAAAAAACTCCTTTCCAGGTAACGATACGACCAGTTACATAAATACTTGATGATAACTCATACAACGACGATGCCGAGATATTTACAAAACTCAAAGCCTAGTCGAGATCATAACATGCGATTACCCTCTCCGTGGGCTTGCGTATTCCATCGATGCCTTTATTTTACCTTTCTCTCAACAAATTTTCTATCGAACGCTACAATCAGCAACCACTCGTCAACGTGATTGATTTGGGGAGCACCAATTTACATTGAACCTAGTTAAGCTGAAGCTGCAATCGAACTTGCAATGCCGAACTTTTCATTTACTGCCTATTATTTTTTTCCATAGCAGGGTATTCTGTCAAATACCACCAAAATGATGTCCAGATATTTGCGAAATGATGCTATTCCTGAACCAAATCCAGATAATATCGATTTGTGTCCCCAGATCAATCCCGTTGATAGGTGGTTGCTGATGAGAGGAGCCAGGTAAAAAACTGGCTAAGAGAAAAACTGATAGAGATGGTCAGAAAACACATACAACTTGCAGAAAAAAAGACCTCACATGACAAAAAATAGCCAATCAGGAAAGAAAAACTAACCCGACGCGATATGATTTACTACATATAACGCGAATGTTAGTAACCAGCAAGCTTGTGAATAATATATTCTTCGCAAACATGAATTCGGAAACAAGTGTGGTGCTAGCTCGAATCTGCTCTGAGCTAACTAAACCCCTCATCCCCCGAGGTCGGGAAATTGTTAGGGGACTTGTTCGGGAAAAAGTCGCTCTCTGCAATCCAATTGGGAACGCCCGAGCTCGGCTATCTCAGAACTCCAGGGAGAATAGACTCCACCAGCATTCTGCAACATTCAAGATGAAATGAAAATCTTCAAGGAGCAGTCCAAGCCACACGTAAAAGCTGGAAGATCTTCGTGGATAATGGATGCGAGGAAACGAATCAAATGTTACAAGTGCTGGGCTCCGCACATTAGACGTGAAAACGAATCATACAAGAATAAAAGAAACATGAGCTCAAAGTTTTGTAAAAAGTACACTGACCAGCCAAAAGGACCGAAGACGTGATCTCCAACTTTGTGGTCTAATAACATCTGGTCTTTAGCACAGCAAGAACAGAAGAAGACACACATGATGCGAAAACGTGCCAAACAAAATAAAACAAGAAGAAAAAAAGGGTAGAAGAAAAAGGAAGCAAAACTCGCCAGGCTATAAAAACCACCTGAAGCTCCGGTTCATCGCCTGCTGGCAGGTCGAACTCGTCGCCGTCCGCTTCGCTAAGGGCGATGCGTTTCGACGTCCCGGAAGCGGAACCAACGTCATCAGCGAACGACACGACCCGCTTCGGCATTATGCGTCAGCCAGTTCGCTATGCTGCAATCGATCGATAGAGGCAAGACAATAAAAACTCAACTCGCAACGATCCAACTAATCACGACCATCCGATGTTTTGACAAAGCATCGGCCACCCAGGTAGCTGAACACCTGGAGTGGACCTTCTCCCCAATCCAACAATACTATTTTGAACAAAAATACAGCGGTTACAATACGTACACCGATATTGATCGATTTTCCGGATTTAGCCGATAGAAAGGAAACAAAGGCGCAAGAATCGTGGACTTTGCTCACTTGGCAGGTGGGCGATGTTACTTGATGATAACGAAAACTTTTAAAAAACAAACTGAATAGGACCGCAACGACACGCTCGACACCGCTACTAATCAAGCAGACGTCTGATAGTACTGACCTCTACATCAGTACTAATTTCTTTGCACGGTCTTCTTAATTCAGAAAGTCTATCATCTTCGGAATTATGAACAACGAGGTCAAAACCAGCACTAAGAGCTTGTCGCCGAATGAAAATAACCCAACAAGTTTTCACTGGACAAACGCTTTGGGCGCGAAATTTGAATTCACAGCCCCATTGGTATCACGTAGTGCTGCCTCATCGTCGTTTAGTTTGCCTTGTTCTTTTTCCCACAGTGCCGTGTTCGGCAGTTTTCTCGATTGGAATCTAAGTTGCATATCCTTGTCTTCAGATGGGTCAGTGGATTTCATTAAGGACTATCGATTACTCAATTACTTCTGAATCGGACTGCTCGGTTAGTTTGGTAACAGCTTTCAGTGATGCTTTTCAACTTGTTTCGATAAGATGCTCTTAAACACTTTTTTTTCCATGATATTATCCCTGAAGATCGAAAGGGCAATAAACGGATTCTCAGCGTGGATCCTCGATCTCCAACCCCTCACATATACAGGACTCCTATTGAAGTCTGTAGGTGAGTGGTTTTAAAGCGACTATCACAAGTTCTCCAGCAACAAGGGAATGCTGATCTAATCTCTCGCAACTACTGAAAAAGACAAGGAATTAACCCAATAAGTTCAGTCGTGTAGGTGTCTTTTGGGGATCCTACCTCTTAGGAATGGAATTGCTATACTCGTGCAGAAATCTCTCAAGAAGAGTCCGGTGTTTCCTTCTCTACCTGACTAACCTAGCTTAATCAGTATTGTAATGGTTTTTTCCTTTTTTTGGATTTTTTTATCTGTTTACTACTTCTTTTGAAGTTTCCAGACCCTTTTTGTTGATCGAAAGCATTAACGGCCAGTGACTCAGAACCCTTAACACCGAGATCATAACTGTAACTATTAACGTCTCGAAGGCTTATGTCTTCACGCCCGAGACAAAATGCTCCTTTTTTTTCAAAAACGAGTTTCTTTTAACCTGAATATGACCAATCAATTTCCTTCTTTACAAAGGACCTATAGGAATAGAATGTATAAGAAGAACAGAATCTTATAAGAACGATTACCACTATTTTTTGACAAGTTTCCTACGTGTAGAAGCATTCCTGGATCCTGGGCACACTTAGTTAACCACAAACCGTGTGCAGCTCAATATTTTTATATCTTCTAAATTCCATATTATTAGTCAGAACATTGCAAATACCATCAACTGTATCACGTATATCAAGCAAATGAAATAGAAGCCATACAAAAGACATATTATCTATTGAATAACTGAGGTCGGGAGTAAAGGGGAAGAGTGGGGTAAGGTGGGATGGAGGGGTCAGCACGATATGGAGAGAAGAAGTCATGACAGAAGTCACCTACAAATGTCGTTTTAGTTACAGAAATAGGAAAGAACAAAAGTGAATTTCATTGAAGCACGCCGAAGACAGCTGATGGCTCTGAAGCAGATAACTCGAGTCCTCTGACGAACACGACGGCAACCCGTCCACGCACACTCTATCAGCGTATTATAGAGAGGAGAAACATCGAGGCTTGAACAGTACCAAGTAAGTGATTTTGTAGAAAGTACCTAGTGCTAGGAGTACTTTACCCATTTATAGAGTAATGAGGGAAGCACTAGTGATTCTTGGTGAGCTTGTTTGCGAGGTGTTCATGCTTCAGCCGACGTCGAAAACCAACCATTTCTTGGGTATCGCTCGTCGTTACTGCTTCAGAAATCGAAATCAGCTCGCTTGTCGTCTTTCCTCCTTTAGCAAGATTAAGCGTCGCATGTAGAGATACTTGTCTACTTCTTTCAACAGGAAACAGTTTCGCATTCCACAGAGAAGTTTCTTTTAGGTGTGTTTCTTTGCCCATCCAGCAAAGCGTTGGCTTCTTCACTTTCACTTCATCGTCTATATGCAGCAGTACTGTTATGTATTGATGTTCGTGTTTCGTAGTACAAAGAGTGAACAGAATGCTGCAGTCATCCAGGCTGAATGGTTCAGAGGATTCACATCCACTCAGTATACATCCGCTACCAATTTGTGCATGTTTTAAATTGCAGTATTCCAACAGCGATCCACTGCCAATCTGTAAAAGTAATGTCTCATTGTCTCATACAAGTATTTCACAATTACGCTTCACTTACCATGGGCCTATCAACGGCGCTTGTCATATTCTTTACTAAATGAAGTTGTTTTTCTTTTTCCGTCTACCATTGTAAGCTGTTACCAGCAGGCTTTAACGAACGATCAATTACTCATGAGAAAAATCTGAGATGTATCAACTTAGTGCGTGTAGCGCAGTGGTCGAGGACACCCTGCAATACACCTGGGAGCGATCCCCGCCCACCAAGCTCTCCATCCCTCTGGGGCCGGCAAGTTGGTAGCAGGCTTGTCTGGGAGGAAAGCAGCATTGGCTCGATACATTGGTAAGCCACCGCGAGTCATTGTAAAGGCCACATATGCATTCAGTCACTCCCAACGATGCTTAATGAAGTCCAGTGCGTGGCGCATCTCTCGGAAATTGATCAATACCGAACACATTTCTAAGTTTTATATCAATTTGTGTAGTACAAAAAGTTGAATTTTGAAGTTCGAAATGCCAAGACATGAAAATCTAATTTTATCAATCAAAACAACCAGAAGATAAATACAAGTACCACCTTCTTCAGTAATGTATTAACGCATAAACAAATTCTATAACAAACATTCTAGCTGTGTAGAACTGAATTCTTGGATACGAAAAGTAGTTGACTTGCTTTTAATCAGCTTTTGACTAACAAATGCTTTCTCGAGAAGATGTGCACATCTCGAGGTAAATAAGATGCAAACTCGGCTTAGGTATAAGTTGACGTTTTCCAGCCGACGTTAACATCCAGCAGCGGGGAAAGCGCACGTTGCGCAATTGGTAGAAATGCCCTGTGACATACAAGGTTATTGGTTCGATTCCGAAAGCTGGACGAGTCCATCTCTATTTGCGGTCGGCAAATTGGTACCAGGCTTTGGCCTGGAGTATAGAAAAAACACATACTGGTGGTCACCGTAAATCACTGTGTAGACTAATCATGCATTTAGTCACCTCTACGATGCTTAATAAGATCGAATGCATCCGTAAAGTAGTACAGTGTATTATAGTATAGTATAATATGGAGAAGGGTGCGTGTGGTAGAGTGGTCGGAGGTGCACTGCAATACACATGGGATCGATTCCCGCGCTGCTGACCCGTCTAGCCTGCCATCACTCCGGTGTCAACAAAGTCCCCCCAGGGATTAATCAACGCCAAGAGCTTTTATAGTATACAGTAGATCAACAGTGAACGCTTTTTCTTTTATCCTTTTTATCCTCTACAGCTGCTTCAAGTAAGAAAATAGATAAAGCGGAGAAAGTAGTAGGTCACGAACCGAACAATTGATTAGTGTACAGTGGACATCGCTGGAGAATGTCTGTAGAAACTTCTTAGCAAATGTGCTATCACGTTGATTATGCTCCTAAAACGACACAAACTCTGTGAATATCTGCAGAGTGGGATGTCCAATGCCCAACCTGAAACTCTCTCGCTGTGCCCATGTGGTAGAACGAATCAGGGCCCAGATTAACAATTTCCGAAGATGCACGACTGAAAATATTGGCGAACGCCTTACGCCATGACGACAGTTCAGAGTCACCTAGAAAAGGAGAAATAGTTAAAGTTACTGAGTCTGGTAGTGTAGATATTTCTTATTAAGATACAAAACAATTAAGTTGCTTCACCTTTTAAGAGATGGTAATGAACGATTTGGGATAGTCGATCAGAAACACACGCCGATGAGATACGTCAAAAATCCTGGATACCCTCATGACACTAAGATCCGGAGGAAAGCGTTAAACCGCTGTCTTACGGGGACGCCAACCGTGTTAGTGTAGTTTCCCGTTAAAAAATCTTGGTCGGCGGCATATATAAATTCATAAGATGTGCAAAGGAACAGTAACGGTGAGTATGTAAGTAACTCGATATTTTTCAGCTCTGAACAAGGCGATTCTGCCGAAACGTCAGCTACGATTGTGTTGTATGTGTGTTATTGTATGTAAGTAAACGTATGCTTTTAACAACCTCGCGATTGCTGAGAGAGAAAACGGCGAATTTATAATCAAATATCGAGGTTAATTGAAAGTCGATCCTGGGAACTAATTCGATATTTTTAAAATAATGGTTAAGCATCCATAGAGCATGGAGCGCATGTGGCGCAGTGGTCGGAGGCGCTCTTCGACACATATGGGATCGATACCCGTGGCTCACCAACCTTTCTATCCCTTTGGGGCTGGTAAATTGGTACTAGACTTGTCTAGGATGATAGCAGCACTGGCTTGCTACATTGCTAGGCCACTGCGAGTCATTGCAAAAGATAGACATGTATTCAATCACTTCCAACCACGCTTTCTGAAGTCGAATGCATGACGCATTCGTTAGGAATTGACCAACGCCGAGAGCTTTATCCTTTCATCCTTAGAACACAGAAGAGTAATTTTTGTAGGTTAGGCAAAAAAGCACCTGGTTTAATATAACGAGTAAGAATCGTCTACCTTCCTCAAGATAGTCCAATAACGGCTCATACCCAAGTGGACGCATAAAGTCACCGTAGCAGCATGTGTCGATGGTACATGGACCACGCAACTTCCATAGCTTCACCAGCTGTTCACAAATCAACCAAGACATCCAGAAAAAACTGAATACTTTGGAATTCAAGGCTAGTTCGTGCCACTTCCTCATGAAAATTAGTTGGAGATGGTGCTTACCAGTCAGAGAGTACGTTCCCGTTTGGAAGAATAGCTTCTAAATTGTTCATCATTACCAACGACGGCTTTTGCAATACAGATTTGAGCCTTCCCTGGTTCATGACGAAAACTCCGTGATCCTTGGCCACCTATTTAAAAAAAAGTGGTAGTTTCGATTGCATGGAGCAAATGATTACCTGCAAACCTTCGTGTCCAATTCAGTAGCGAAGAGTATCATATCTGATGATGAGTAGCACTGCGCAGAAGTGGACACGTCTTCGAGGACATCAGAAGCAGAAACGAGCAGACCAGCAGGAAGCGCAGCCGACAGAGACATATAAAGAATGGTTTTTTCTTTCCTCTTTTCTGGACAACATATAAGGAATAACGGTGCTGAAAGTAAAGGACATGTTGCCCTCTTGTGCAAAGAATCAATGTGCTTAAACTTCGTCTAAAGTCCTCAACATGTACGAAGATTCATGGAAAATCACATTTTGCTGAATGTTCCTTTAGAAAGCATAGCATTCCAATCAATGCCCAATATATTTAGCTGAGTTAAGCTAGTTAACTAAGGAGTTAATAGGTTTAGATTGTTTACATGAAGCCACTGAAGCTCCGATTTCATAACAACTCTACTGCTGGCACCCATGCGAAAATTTCACAGAAAATTAAAGTGGGTAAATTTTTCCTCTCTTGGGCTCTTCGACGCGTTTTAACCCCCTCCCTCCTTTAGTCATAGCTTTGCCATCATTTCAAGTGGAGATGGCTCACTTATAGCGGTGTGAAGAGGTGGATTCGTCAACATCAAAAACACGGACCCTCTGGCGAACCACGACGACCCCACGGACTATGTGAGAAAAAGAAGAAGGAAAGACGAAAATCATTGTGAGTTATAGCAACTGGATCAGACATGATGACAATGGACCAAAATAGCCTTTGATTCAGGAATAGGTGAATGGTGGTCACTGCTAAGGAAAAAGCTCGTTCTCCAGTACAACAACAGCACACTAGCTCTTACTTTCACGATGACGGAAAACCTTTTTCTTGGTGTTCCTGCACCCGATATCCTTTACATCTTCAGAATACGCATTCGACTTCATTAAGCACCGTTGGAGGTGATTGAATGCATATCTGGCCGTTACAATGACTCGCGGTGGCCTAGCGATGTATCGAGCCAGTAGTGGTTTCCTCCCAGACAAGTCTGGTACCAATTTGCCGACCACGGAGGGATGGAAGGCTTGGAGGACTATGGGCGCGAGGATCGATTCCACGTGTGTGTTGTACGCTGCCTCAGCCACTGCGCCACACGCGCCCTACACGTCGTCATAAAAAAATAGTTTTCCGGAAATCCATTGGAATGGTGTTTTAAAACGATTGTAACGTCCTAGAAATAAAATTCACCTGTACGTGCGCAACTTCATCTCGAGCAGAGTACTGCCATTTGGTAATGTAGCAAATATTTTTCCGAAAACTGAAAGATGAGGCATTCTCTGTGAAAGACCGCCAGAATGAATTAGTAGCACCTGAAAGTGCAGTTACGGCTGGATTAGTAATTTTAGAACCTATCGCCGTCTCTCAACTTTAAAAGTTGTTTTTGTTCGTATTTTTGTTGAGCAAACGCGAGGTGTTATTATTCTTTGTTCACGATTAAGCTGACGTTTCGGCGGATTTCGCCTTCCTCAGAGCCGCTTCCTATGAGGTTTCCACTAAGTATGTCAAGTAGAAACCAACCGCACAGAAATCACGTGGAAGTATAATGTGTCCTTGTGACTGTTTTAAAAAAGTTTGTGTTTTAAAAGTTGTCCTTGTGACTACTATGTGTTTTTTATAGAGCAACCATCCTCCGAGAAAATTACGAAAGCTAAACGAGCTCATCGGAAGCCAGAAAAAACCAAGCTTAGGTCCAGGATTTCTGCCTTCTTGGAATAAAGCTCACCAAAAGGTAGAAAACAGATATGCCAACATAGAATCTCATCGTAACCGTCTCATTTAAGCCGTAGGCATCTCGCGTTTGCCAAGCTTGATCCTCTTTTATCTAGTTAAGTCACTGTTTTCAGATAACCACAATCCGCACCTTTTGACCGATTCTCTGACCTCCAAGTGACTGCAAAGCATTAAGTGTTGCTCCTCCAGATCCTAAAAGAATTCACAAGTTTTACATAGGCAATATATTACATACTGTATGGTTCTCAAATCGCACACAGTGGGTGTTAATTTAACTTTGTTCACACTCGCAGTTCCCACATGAAGTTTGAAAACAAAAGTGTAAGTTTCAATTTAACACACGAGTACTTACTAACACATAGTACCTATTCTTACTCCTGGCGGATAGTCTGCGATGACTACCGTGTCCCTACAGTAACCAGAGATGTCTGTCTCGCTCAGAAGATTTTCGAAATTACGTTTTTGTGACTCACTTCCCGCAGTCAGTATAAGGAGATCCCACATAGTTTTTCTACTGCAATTAAACATTGAGAAACTCTTGCATTCGAACTGCAATGGTTTATATTTTGAGAGTTGACAGAACATCGGATTTGAGGACTCATGAATTCTAACCAGTAACGATGTTGGATGAGACTAGGCTGACTCAAAAAACTACATATAAACGAGACTCGACTCTTGATCCTTTGCAAAATATCACGTTGATGTTTCTTCGATCAAATAAACGACTGTAATGTTTATATTTACAGTCGTCACATCTGTTCATGTAAACAGTAGAAGTACAAATGGTATTAGGTGCGTTTAAGCTAAACAAGCTATAAACCTCAGCAGTTTAGTAAAAATTCTAGGCTAGGAAACAAATAATCACAAAAGAGGGCCAAGTTCATTATCCCATCCAGAAAACAGATTAACAAAGGAGTTCGGCGTTTTCATTTGAAGGCTCAGCAAGAGTAAACCCATGTCGCATCAGAACATTGCCATCCACCTGTGAACTTATGTTCTCACCGAAAACGGTGAAAAGAAAGAGCTTAGCAGAAAAAGTATGAGGTTCCCTGTGTTTTTAAAAGCAGCACAGTGCTTAATGTGCAATTCTGAAGTTCAACAGAGACGAATGAGACATTTCACTGGAGTTTTTCTGCTCAGCTGACGAATAACTGCATTAAAGATGATGCCGGTGATAGAAATGAGGAGATGGATCTCCATAGCATTGATGGAAGTTACCAAATCGATAAATTTCGTACAAGAACATGAAGCCTGTCCGACATCCCTTGATGGCGGTATGTGAAATGAGTTAGTGTAAAGTGTAGCTAATGTCCAGACGTCCTTCGTGAGTTCAACTAACTTTGAAGGAAACGAAAATTTCAAAAAAAGAACAACGAAAATTGTCGATGCAACACGATCACTTTTTTCCCGTTGTTTGTTGGTATGGGCAAATACCTTTAACCACCTTCTCAGCATTTTCACTACTTTTTTTTGTTTTTTTCACTAGTTCGGATGTTATTCATTGGTCGCTCAATTAATCCAATAACTACAACGTTTCTGAGATATTTGCAAAAGTGGGATATCAGGTCAGCTTCAAACCCTCGATTACCTTTTCCGGTGGTCACGTGTTACCCACCGCACCACCGCGGCCCTTGCTTTGCTTTTCTCTCAGTCAGTTATTTAGCCTATCGGTGATATCAATAACCACTAGTGAACGGCAATATTTCACCTAAGACCCTAACGTGAAAAAAGTAAGAGGTAGCAAGTAAAACTTGAACGTTATGTTACCTATCCTATAATTCTCCTTAACTTCGAATGGGTTTAGGCTAAGACAGCGCCATTACCTTAACATTTATGAAGTATCTTCTTCATTTCAGACCAACCGACCAGCACAAATCTTTTGTTTGAAGTGCAATCCTCATGAGTACAATAGCAGCGGTAGCACCAATTTCAATGCTTTCTTTCGGTGTGTTTCACTTCCTGAATGGGCTCTTCCCATAGTTTTCGTACTAAAGTTATATTAGTCGTCCGAGAAAATTTTACCATACAGACCGTAATTTATGTTTCTGGGACGAGATTCCTCGCCTATATGAGTCCCGCACCGGTTGGTTTTTGTACAGATAAAGTGAACAACACAAAAACCCGTTGAGATTCCTGATCCGTGTAAAACTGTCTTTAGTCGGTCTCTAACAATAACTGGAAGACATAAAGAACGAGAAATCTCTGAAGAAGACGTAAACGCCGAAACGTCAGCCAGTATCGAACAAATCTTTTTATTGACGATTTCATGTCTGCTCATCAACAAACCGGTGAATTACTGATCAATGTCAAGGTTAAGGGAAAGTTGGTTCTGGAATTTGCTACAAAACTCGTTGTCGATAGAGGAAACACTAAGATGCTTCTAGTGCACAAGTACAAATACACGAATTCCACGATGATGTCGCTTACTGCACAGGTGGAATAGGACTGTTCGTAATCAGTGTATCTGATTTGGCACCTATGTATTGTGTCCAGTGAACCTCACACGATGTAAACCTAGACACTAAGCGATCCGCCACCTTAAATCAGGTGTCGTTGCGAATGTTTCAATAGTACCTCAGGATCTAGAAATTGAAACGACTCGTACCACCAGAAAGTAGGATCAGCACTAACCTACTCGTATGGAAGTCTGAGCTCACGAAGTACTACTAAGCACAATAAACAAAAACTACTACAACTCCATAAACGCACCCAAAATACGTTTTGCAAAAATCGCAAGAAACACAAGCGGGTTGGCAATCCACCCATGAGGTTCACATAATTAAGAAAGGAACATTAATGAGATAGTTATAACGAGAACTGATCAGGGAACTCACAAGTCCATCCTAACCTCAGCGCACCATTACGGTAATTCTTATTTGAGTATACATTTTCTTACAAATGACCGTCGACAAGTTATCGTCACCTTAATTTAAAAAAATAAATGCATTTTGCAACACCTCGAAGAAACAAAGAAACACTAGGAATTTCACAACCACTTTATTACGTCACTAAACAATGAGGCGATTCGTCACTGCTTCCTATGAAGCCTAAGACATCACCTATTCTTGTTGCCTAAAACCGATCTTTGGTCACATGAGTATCAACGCCGAAAACCTGACTATCTGATGAAAAACGAAAGTTGAACCCATTGTAACCTACAAGCATATGTTCACAGGAAACAACAATTCAGCACATATTAGAAACTCTGAACACATAACTTTAAAGGATTAGGCAGAGAAAAGAGATTATTAAGTAAAAAAAGATGAGTATATATATATATATATATACATATATGTTAGTGAACAACAAAAAAAAAAGAAAGGAGGTTAATTCTGTATGTACAATGATTTGAACGATGGCAGTACAACGGGGAACAGAGTAATCTACAAATAAATCAGAATACAAACACTTCTTTTATGCTCAGCTAGCACTGCCAATTTTTCGTATCCCAATCGAACCACTGCTGGTGTCAATCGCCATTCATTTTGAAATGCAAACAATGGGCTGTGAATAAAACGATTCAGCTGAAACTCACGGTATTCAGTACAATAGGATCGCATACGATGGCGATAAAGTCAACAATCACTTTAATATCGAAATCATTCAATCATATAAATTTACAAGTTCGAGATATTACACTATTACATTTGAGAAACCTCAAGCCATATTTTCAAAACCAGATAAGACGTCTTCAAGTAGCCGATAAAGGAAAAGCTAGCATCAGACTTGCCGTGGAAAATAGGTAGACATGGGATGAACCTCCGCCTCTACTACGCCGGATAAACTTTAAGGATTCCACATAGTTGTAGTCATATCCACGCAGTTGTACAAACGTGTGTTACGCGCTTTTGACAATGAAGTCGGACATCCACCATGGATGAATCTTACAAACTGCTCCTGGGCATTCCTCGACACCCACGGTAGAGTTGAGCAAATACAGCATAAATATCAACTGTATCACTGACTCATCAAGTAAACTGTATGAGCTTCAATGAAATAAACATGCACTGTCGCAGTGCTATTCAATGAACCCAACTAGTTCAACAAACAAAAAGAATAGCACCTTCCGCATTTATGTTCAACATTTAGGTGACAAGAAATCACATGGTACCTCTTGTAGCTCTGCTATATAAGAAGCATATAGTCTCAGCGAGACTGACACGTTCTCTCGTATCTAATGTAATGTCCCCACTACATCATGCTTTACCTAATCACTAGTGGTACGAACTTCAGTAGCCGAACACAGGATCGCACTCCTACTTCCATCGATAAGCAAGGGGACACTTATGGGTAGCATAGAAAGCCCAGCAACAGAAGGCTGAATGCGTTTACGAGTACCTCGACGGAATCTCCACGATTTATGGCTTAAAGGTAGCCGTGAAAGGCAGGAAGATTTCCTTCCAAATCCAAATAAACTCTCTAATGAGAAAGCACAACCAAAACGGCTACATCATATCGGTGATCGAAAGCTTCAACTATACGAAGCTACTTCCGTTCCAAAATCCTGTATAAGACAGGATCAACTCCTCTATAGTTTAGATTCTTAAACAAGTGAGAAGGTCAAAGTTGATAAAATTAGTTCCTCAAATAAAATCAAACCACTACCAACCTAGATTTACTCTTTTGATGAGCTTTACAAAGATAAAACTAATAAAAACAACAACAAGCAATACTCATCCCTCATTCAATACTACACCGGCATCACGGGAAAGTCAAGAGTACGTAAAGCATGCCGAAGAGACTTTTAAGCTACCATAGAGTCGTGGTAATAGATGTGTTACACGCAGCTATCAAATTACGTTAGAATTATCAAAACTCTACAGAAAACAATTGATTGCACCTGCATAGACTTGAAAGAGAACACCTAATGCACACTGAGACAACGTCAATGAAGAACTAGATGCTCTGCACAGTAAATTAAACTCATTTGATATCAGTAGACATCATTCAATATGCGCCTGAGAGCGTTTCTATTCGGTTTTTGTCTACAAGCTTTATCTGGATCATTCTCACAATTGAAAGAACACTGGAGGAATAAGCTAATTCAACAAATGGAAAATCAGAAAACGTTAAGGACAATTCTTCACATCCACACAATCACCTGTATAACCTGTCTTGCCGCTGATCGTAGAAAATTTAGTGCCGCTTTATTCGACCGCGCGCCAGTAAATTTTCCATTTCCCCCTGCCACGTGTAAGAGTAACCCAGTCGGTTTTGTTGGCTGTAAGGACTCGACGAGTGTCAGAAAGTTCTTCTCGGGAACGAGGAACCACGACGTTTATAGAACTAAAGAAAGCATCAACAACCTACTGAATACTGTATGGAATACCAGCCCCGCGTTCATTTTATTGATTCAATGAATTTCCCTGCCTCAGCGCACATCGGAATGCAATGTAGTCAGGGTGAAAGTAACTGAAAAAAGTCGTTTAGAAAGTGCTGCCGAAAAGGTGATGGTAGGCGTGTCACAGGTTTCACCCAAATAAGAGAAGTTACTCAAAGTTCTGAGCAAAGTCGATCACTGAAGTCCAGACACTGATGGATACGGTATAACAAGGAAAAACAGGTGTGGAAATAGAATGTCTTTTGTACAAGAAGTTGCTGTAGAAAAACAGTCCGAGAGTGTGCCAAGCGTTGATTATAAAACTGATGGTCATACTTCTCCATGAAAAATTTTAACATTGACAATTATACAACCACAACGTTGCTGAGATATTTGCAAAACTCTGGNCCTCAGGTGTCTATGGTGGGGAACGAACGCGCTATTGTCCTTTCCGGGAAGGATAATAGCGCGTTCGTTCCCCACCATAGACACCTGCGGTCCAGAGTTTTGCAAATATCTCAGCAACGTTGTGGTTGTATTTCGCTTAGTAACCTGCCATGAAAATTATAGAAGGCAGAAAACAAAACGTTAAACATTGACAATTATGTTTGCAGCTAATCGATTTCGATCCAGAGTCATTGGAAAATAAAAAACGAATTATTCAATAACTCTGATATTAAACAGAATATTTTCAAGAATAGTGCAAAATTTTCTTTTAACTCTTTCGGGTGTCACACCTGATTCACGTCAAATGCAGTCTTTTCCATGTGCACTGTGAGCATTTGACTAACTCGGAAAAACGCGGTTTCCATCAAAGCCAAAGCGGAGAGTGCTGAGATTGACGGACAACCCGAAACACAGAATATCTCCAGGTTCGGACAGCAGCGAGCTACAGAGCGCGCTAACTTATCCGTAATCTAAAATATGTTGAGGATTATAATGCATATGAAAATTATTACATTCGAACAACCATGAGAAACGTGACAACACCTTGGAAAATACTGTGGGTGGGCTCTCTTCACACTTCGTAAACGTCCAATTAACTCTTCTATGTGTGGTTCCACTACCACAAGATCACACAGTTGTTCCTTTTGATCGAATGTTCCTTCTCGAAAATGCTGACAGAGGTTTTTTCGTAGGTGAATACATCCGACTAACTGGTTGATGATCTCCTATAGGACTGCCTGGCTGTCTAAGGATGTCCCTAGATCCTACAGTCGTTCTCCTCTTCATGGGAAGTTCGTTGATACTTCGTTTTGAAGGAAGCTGGACTTTGAGGAAGAGAAATCGGTGTTCGATCATGCAGTCTCGTGAATCTAATGCTTAACATATTACAAAGAGCGAATTGCACCTTTATAAATCCAGATGTCAGATCAAAAGGCACCTTCCAGATTTCCGTTGTACATTATATGTATATATTTATCAAAATCTTCGAAGACACCTCCTTCACTGATAATCCATCAATCAGCGGTACACTTTAATGCCAGAAATTTCACATAAATTGCACTTCTCTTCATTTTCTTCATGGTAATACCGGCACCTTATTCACTTGAATTCAATTAACAGCTCCGATATAATAAGTGAACTTTCATCTTCGTCCCTCATTTAGAGGTTCCGTGAGGTGCTGCACTATCGTTTCGCAGCGACTGTTCAAACATTGTAAACAATAACCATCTCAGCAACCAAAGTCGACATAGTTGTATGTTTCTGGTATTTCAAGATTAGAATTTGGAATAAACGACACCTCTGAAATCCAGCTTCAACCACCGCACTAGGTTGATAGAGGTAATATGCATAATAATAATGTAACTTGAAAATCAAGTACATAGAGCATGAAACGCCGGCAAATACTTTCAGTGGTGCCGGGTACTCTACAAAAGCTTCTAGCTTGAGCATTTGCAGCTGTTTTATACCTTCGTCCACACAGATATAGTGGAGACTTGGTTGGTCGCTACCATTTTATGTCAATAACCAAGTATGACACCAAACTTCCTTGAAAACGGGCTCTGCACCACCAAATGTTTAAGATTGTAAACACCAATTCGTGATTCTCTTGTGTAGCATATGTTGACAACCAACAACGAGTAGACCGATGTGTGTTATAGTTGAATCCATTCATAAGATTCTTTAAACGCATCCTGGTCGTTCGTAAAATCAACGGTAACCACCAAAGGTCCTATCGAGCGTACCTTCACCACGGAGAATTTGTTTCATTTCTTGGTAAGGTAAAGACGTTTGGTCTGTTATTGCTATCGTTACGAAGACAACAAGATCATGTAACATGTGAAATGATATGAACATTGAGGTATGTTGTACTACAGCAAGACGACCTTTTATGAAAACAAAAAGATGTTCCAGGATAAACGAAGAACGAGTTGAGAAGGTCCACTAAGCTGTTTCTTTTGTCATCGTTTCACTTTCCAGCCAAAGAACACCACTACACTATCTCTCTTTACATTCCTTGCCTTGAAATATTTGTTCAAAAATCATACAGAATATGTCGAAGGCGTCAATAGCTTCGTTATGATCCCCTCTTCAACCAATCCTGATTTTTTAGTTCTATAAAAAAAACCTGTGCGACTTTTTACAACGGAAGGCAGATAGTCTCTACACGCAGAATAATTCATTGAACCACCGAGTAACCATTTGACTACATTGGAGAAAAGTAGTTAATTGTATAACTCCCTTCCAACCTAATTATAGATGGAATGGTTATAATGAAATAACGGGATTTCAATAGCACAGCAAAATTGATTAGGTGACCATCTCACGAGAGATCTTCCTTGCAAGAATGGCACCAATGACCAGCGAGCGTTGCACCTCCTTTCTTGCAATCCCGTAGGAGATCCTTCGAACCCCAACACTGTTCGACGCTTTTAAAAACTACTGAAATTTCTCTGTTAGCTGAAAGAATGATTTTCATGATTCACAAAAAAATTGCCTATACTACTAGGTTTTAAGCCTTCGGCACATGTAGTCATTATGTGCTTTGAACCAGGTCGAACATCTAAACATGATGGTAAGCACGGCAACTCAGCACCAGCTGTACTACTTATAATCTATAAAAAAATTTCTTTTTTCCTTCTTCCACCCATAAATTTCTTTTTAAATTTTCAATTTTTCAAAGCCTCAACTTTTTTGAAAGCACAACATCCAGAAACATCTTAAGTTTCTTAACAAGTTTGGTGAACTGACCTGAAAATTGTCATTGATTTCTAACCTCCAGAGGGTGCTGAAAGATGGAGCTATTCCTCGTATAAAGTAACTTTCTGACAGTGGAAACTTACATCCATCAAAAATTAGCTGAAACTAGCACATTCTTTAAAAGAAAGTTACAAGACACACTTTCTTTTGTTGTAACATGGCACACCATACCATCTATTGCGAAATACTGCGTCAGTTTTGTAATCACAGAAAACTATTAGATGAAAACAACTCTACCTCACGAAGCCGGTTAAATTGTGCCAACTGAGCCAGAGTCCATGGTTTTACGGCAAGAAAGTCACAGTTAGACAGAGACAGTCTTAAAAAGAGCACAATTATTTCTGCATTACATTCTTAATTTTACATGTGAATAACCATGGTCACAAAGCACGAGTACACAGCAAAATTTCCGAATGTCTGGGTCTTGTTGATTGAGCACTTCTGTATCTCTTGTACTGAGATTGCTGTCGTAGGATAACCAAGGTTTCTCACAGCCTAGAGTCACCGATTGTTATGGATAGCAAGAAAGTTTACCTCCTCGCAATCAAGCTCATTTAGAAAGGACAACACTTCTTGCTATTTACACCCCAATAGGTAGACCTAGGACCGCAATTGAACGACTAACAACACCTTGCAAATGTGAGACCGTACACCATTAACGAGCTTCCATCAGGCAATGGATTAAATAAGTATTGCTGAGTTTGCTGAGCTTGGCAAAATCAAACTTGATAGAAAAGTGGAAGTGTGTGACGTTGTGAAATTAATGTACTATTTCTTACCATTTCCACAATTATGGCAGACTGCTCGAACAACGGCACATATTTCAACCAAGGATGGAAACTATTATAACTTAATTCGATGTTCTTCTTCAATGAGCAGACACGAGGTTGTTATTATAGAATTTATTAGGATACAATAGCTGACGTTCGGGCGGTTTCGCCTTCTTCAGAGCCTGGAAGGGTCAAATTGAGACGTGATCTACCCAGCCAAACACTTTCATAACCCCAGCAGATAAAACTTAACAAATAAACTTGCATTCGCATAAAATACTACGAATAAAATACATAAATACTTACAACGAATAAAAGGTAAGTGTTTAAATGAAGCTGTTTCTCATGCGAATACAAATTTATTTGTTAAGTTTTATCCGCTGGGGTTACAAAAGTGTTTGGCTGAGTAGATCGCATCTCAGTTTGACCTTTCCAGGCTCTGAAGAAGGCGAAACCGCCGAAACGTCAGCTACTGTATCCTAATAAGTCCTATAATAACAACCTCGTGTCTGCTCATTGAAGAAGAACATCGAATTATCAATCAATACCGAGGTTAACAGAAAGTCGGTCTTGGAAATATTATGACTTAGCTATAGACCGCCTAACCACAGTGTACAGTCCAGGCATGCATTTCTACATATCCAGTAATTTCTTCCGTGAATTCGCCGATGGAACACTATTTTGCACTGCGTCTGAATAACCGAGAATCCGGTCTTTTCAGGCTTCTCGGCCTTCCAACACAGTATATCTTGCGAAGAAAACGTGGATTTAAAATTTGTGATTTTTTAACACAAGTTTCTCAACAATATCATCGGGAATGTTGAAAATCCTTAACTTGTAACGCAGTGTATGTTGCAGATGTTATTAGACTTTCCAAAAGCGATCATCATTTAACCTCCGCATGAATGAAGAATACGTTCTCTTGACCGTTCAGCTCACACTAGGTTTTTCTCAATTTGACTTTTGTAACAACCTCGTGTGAGTAGAGTAGTCTAAAAAAAGTTTTTAAACTATCTAGAGACAAGAGGACAAGAGCATAAGGTCTCATTGTGGACCGAATGGTAAACACAGGTAGAGAACCTCTAACACTAGTACGAAAAGCTCGAAGCCCCTGCTTAGGCCAATGAAAAAGAACAAGTGAAGTGAAAGATTACCAGACGCTCCGCTAAACAAAGTAAAAATTGAAAATAAATAAGTACATGTAAAAAAGAATCCAGTGAGTGGTGAAGAAAAGGATGACTACCCGTTATTGAATCTAGTGTTTGCTTTTACACTTCTTCTCTTCTTTTAAATTCATGCTATTTTACATGACCCGTTATAACATTTATTGCGCGGATGCCAGCAGTTCTTGTATTCCATTCGTTTCCTGGCATCGAACTGCTACAATGATCTTCTAACATTTCGCGTGCTATTTCAGCTGCTGCTTAAGGATCCCCTCTTTTTTACTAATGCCATAGTGTTAGTCGAGTCAGCTCACCTTGAAAATTTTAAGATAGCCGGGCCAAGGCGTTCCCACATGAACTGGAGAGGAGCAGTTGGGTGGAGACTGAACTTGGGCCTTTGCTTCCTGATCGACAACATCACTAACCACTGCGCTATCCCAGCCCTCTTCACTCCTTCACTACTCAGAAGACAATGCATTGAGTATATTAGACCGAAAAGGAATCGACATCATTTGAGAGAACAATGCTATGAACCAGTTAAGCAATACAGAATAAGAAAAATTTGAACACGAACGATGGTCGGCAAAAGGTGATCACACTGCTTGAAACGAAAGATAAAAAAACACGTTTTGCCAAACCCACCACCAATTGGGAAGAAAATGTGGATCAAAACGTTTCCGATTTACGAAATAAGAGGTATATATCAAAGCACGTACAAATAAAATAATTCCCAGTATCAAAGTGAGAATAGATCCTTAGACGCACTGTACCTGTTAAGAGGTGCGTACGCACACTGACAAAGCAATTCATACAAACGGTCGTCCGTAATCCGACCACGAGCCAATTCGTCCTCCAATTCCAAGGAAGTAGCATCTTAAGAGAATAAAACTCTTACTCTAACGAACTGTTGAGAAATTAATAATAAAACACCATTTATACTCTCAGAATCTCAAGGAAAGAAATCGCATGGTTCTAAAAGTCATCGACATGTCACAACATGACACTTTAAAGAATGACGAAATCATATCGTTTCCTTATGTAAAAGCACGCTGCGAAGCATCAACGAAGATCACACGCCCAATGAACCATCAGCATGCTATTAACCTCACAGCCATTCCGTTCTCAGTTCATGTCACCTATCTCTCAACTCTTCACTCAAGTCATTCCAAACAAAATTAACAGAACATTGGACGAAGGACAGCCATTTCAGCAAGCAGGGTCTCAAAAAGAATTTGATACGACAGAGCAGATCCACACGAAAATAAGACTCATCAAAGTATGGCGAGAGTACAGGAGAACGCTCTGTCTCACTTTCATCGATTTAAGGAAAGCTTTCGACCCAGATGAGAAAGGAGCAGTCATGGAACCCCTGGACGGCCAGGGGCTCCCCACTCAGTAGATGAAGATATTTCGTTATGTGCATAAAAAGTTCACAACTAAAGTATCACCATGTTTACCTTTTATTTTCTGCCTACCATAATTTTTATGGCAGGGTATTAAGCGAAATCAACCACAATAACGCCGATGTGGGCTCCCCAGATCACTTACGCTGACGGATGATTGCTGATGGCAGAAATCGATAGAACTAGCTGAGAGACAGGCGAAACAAAGGACCCGCATGGTGTGGCGGTGAGGGCGTTACTCCCCGGAAAGGACAATAACGCGTTCGTTCCCCACTGTAGACACCTGCGTTGTGGAGTTTTGCAAATATCACAGCAATATTACGGTTGTAAAGTATTACCATTCTATAACGTTATTAATGTCGACGTCAACAGATCAGCTAGGCAAGGCGATACCATCTCTCCAAAAATTTATCGCCACCCTCAAGAAAGTCATGTCAACACTGTAATGGGACAACAAGGAAGTGAAAACCTATGGTCGGCAATTACACCATTTTCACTTTGCTAATGACATCGCTCTTATAAAATCAAGCACTAACCAGACGCGATGAATGCATGTCGATTTTGACGCTTGTGGAATGACTGGTCTTCGATTAAATCTCATAAAAACGATGCCCATGAGGAACGGATTGGTTTCACGTGCCTCATTCACGCTCAGCGGAATTAATATCTCCGAATGCTCCAGTTGTGTCTATCTAGGAAAATCGACATGATTAACGACTTATAACTTCAATGATGCTGAAATATCTGCAAAACTCCGGACCGCATGACCCGCATGGTGTGGTGGTGAACGCGTTACTTCCCGGAAAGGACAATAGCGCGTTCGTTCCTCACTACATACACCTGCGGTCCGGAGTTTTGCAAATATCTCAGCATCATTGAAGTTATATTTCGCAATATACCTTGCCGTTAAAAAGAGTAGGCGGAAAGTAATAAGTTAAAATTCTGATTAACGACTTAGTTCCAGAGTTGAGCAGAAGGAAACGAGCGGCTTGGGAAGCTTTCAAGAGCATCGATGTAGTGAAGCGAACGAAGAATACCTAACTCTGCGTCCACCTTTTCGATTCCACGAGTCTTCCTCTCTAAATGTGTACATCAGAACCCCGGAAGCTACGTAAGCAGAATGAAAGAGCTCTCAGCGTTATAGAATAGGCAGTCGAAAGCACTACACTAGAAGTATCCCGTATTGCATGTGACGGAGAGGATCTGAAGATTCAATATACGTCAACGCATAAAAATCAGAGACGCCGTTCTATACTAAACACCAAACGCTCGATGATAAGGTAGGACGGAATGCGTATGAACGACAACAGATAAGGCAAGACCAGTTAATCACTGGGTTTCTTGGAATGACAAACGAACTGCAAGATCACCGGCCCGACGATCAGAGTTCAATACTCTAAAAAAAATTCATGTGATACTCAAAGAGACCCTAAGGCGAGCAGAACCCACTTGGCCACATTTACACGCGACAGAAAGAAATGGAAGAATTTACTGGCACCCACATGAAACGCTCGACGACCAAAGGGACGACGGATTATAAGGTAAATCTTAACCTTCTTATTTACTGCCTAATCTTTATAATAGCAGTGTATATTGCGAAATATAACTTTTATAATGCTGAGATATTCGCAAAACTCCGGAGCGCAAGTGTCTGCGGTGGGGAACGAACGCGCTATCGTCCTTTCCAGGGAGTAACGCGTTCACCACCAAACCATTCGGGTCGCTTCGCCTGTCTTTCAGCTAGTTCTATCGATCTTTTGCCATCACAAACACCCGTCAACGGGATTCATCTAGGGAGCCCAAATCCGTATACACCTGCGGTCCGGAGTTTTGCAAATATCTCAGCATTACAAGTTATATTTCGCAATATACCCTGCCATTAAGATGAGTAAGCAGTAAATAAAAAGGTTAAGAATGTGATTATAACTATAGCCTCAGCCTAACAGAGTTCAATGCCGATTTGGGCTCCCCAGATCAATCCCGTTGACGGGTGATTGCTGATGACGAAAGATCGATAGAACTAGCTGAGAGACAGGCGAAACGAAGGACCCGCATGGTGTGGTGGTGAGCGCGTTACTCCTCGGAAAGGACAATAGCGCGTTCGTTCCCCACTGTAGACACCTGCGGTCTGGAGTTTTGCGAATATCTCGGCATTATATAAGGTGAATATTTTTCATCTAGGACCTAAGTGAAGAACTTTGCCCATATGGTCAGCAGTTTTCTTGCCGCGCGCTTGCCATCCTATGAGATACAGTGATTAACGCTTGTCGTTAAAACGAAACACGAGTTTAGAACTCCTTACTTTCCAAATTAAAGCATATGTAGCAGTGTCTGTGCCATTTCGCCGTCGATGCTGCGTTGATTTTATGAGGCATAGTTAAGAACGAAGTATTTGGCTACACTTCACAACATTCCCGATGACTTTATGAGCTCGCTAAGGCACTTGCTTATTCGCATTCAGTTTTGAAACACTGCTTCCTCGCATGGTTGTCTTTCGTCCAGACTCTGTCACTCTTTCCAGGTGTTCTGTCAAACCTTTTCAGGATAACACAACTGAAAACAAGGAACAGGCAGAATGGACCGAAGATGCCAATGTTGTATAGGTTTCTTAATTAACAGTAACTAATACACCCTTAGTAGCTTCGATGCATACGCCTTATGCTAACAAACACATGCGAATGACCATTTGTTAGTTCACAACGACGGTTTTTGCGATTTGCAAAGAAGTCATCAACCCTTTAAAACTAAGAAATTGTAACATTTCAGCTTTTTTAAATTAGTAATTAGGCGTTGAACGATCTGAAATTTGAGTACGTGATTCAATATTTTTAAAAATAGTGCCTTAATGTGACTTTGAGAAAAGCGAATTCTCAGGGAATCCGTTTCATGAGTTTGAAATTGGTCACACACCCACAGAAACAACTTGAACGTCGACCTTGTAGAGCTCAGAATAATTTTCCGAGCCATAAAGAACAAGAAAGCCATGAATGCCTTTTGTGGGTACACCGATCATTATTCAAGAAAGTAAACGAAGATGATTAACGTCAAAGCGCCGTCGATGATGATGATCACTTTCTAATGGTGAACACCAGGATTAATATGTTTCTTTCCTCCAGATACTATGAGAACAGAGTTATACCAAATGGACCACAAAAATTCAAAGCAAATAGAATTAGCACCGTTTTATCGTAAACGTCTCTTACATAGCCGCACGAAACGCGCCCACATGTTTTGCATATCGCCATCGAGAAGCTGAATGAGTTAAAGTACAAAATTACATGTTGTCTTGCACACTCTCCGAACCTTGCCTCGACTGACTTTCACTTTATTAAACACTTGCATTACTTTACAAATGACAGAGCACTAAGGAATCAACAACTTTAAAATAACTCCTAGGACCGAGTTCCTACTAATCTGGGCATTGTTGAGTAATAGTTCCCAGGATCGACTTTCTCTTAACCTCGGCATTGGGAAATGAATGTGTCGTTTTCTTGTTCAGCAATCGCGAGGTTTTTAAACAGCATACATTTACTTCCATTGAGAAACACAATACAATACAACGCTAGCTGACGTTTCGGCAGTATCGCCTTCTTCAGAGACTGGAAGGGTATACTGATATACAATCTACTAGGCCAAACGCTTCAATAACACTTGCAAAAAGACGAGGAACTTTTCGGTAATTACATGATCAACAACTTCTCGAAAAACCCACCGCTTTTTCGTGACTTCCAATGAGGAAGTTTAGAACAGATGATTATAGTCGCATGTGGTTGACGACTGCACCATCCCACATCAAAAATCGATGCGAACGTACGGGAACAGGTCGCGTATGACCTCCGGGCATTCGTCCATGCTATTCATTGTAGGGTTTTTGGCATTGATCCAAAAAGCCTCTAGTTTTCGCGCTGGTGTTTTGGACTCCTGTGCAAGGATATTGACTTTTACTTCAAAATCGTCTCCGCTATGCTTTTGTATCCTATGCGTGCCTAGTGGGGTACTTTGTCATAGTTTTCGTTTGCCATCTAGGTGTTCTTTTACACGGATACACAAAGGTCTGCCCGTTTCGCCAATATATTCATCTCCGCAATTGTTACACGAGATCAGGTATATCGTACCTGGACTCATGCAATCACCGTCCCTGCCGTAAGGGCAAATTACGCAATTTGTTGTTTCACACAGACGGTCATACAGGCGGTTGCGAACTAATTGGCGACGTAGAGTAGTCGGTGGTATTTCAACTATCGCTACCAATTCCTCTAGACCTGCCTTTCTTAAGCATCGTTTTACAGCTGCGCTTACTTCATCGCTTATAAAAAGCAACATAAACGGGATTTTGTTTTGGCCAATTGTTTCGCGTGGGCGCGTCGTTCTCCTTGTAAACTTATCTCGTGGGGTTACTATTTCGTAGCCATTGGAGATGGCTATTT